CTTTGTGTTGTGCGTGTTTTCTGTGCGTTGTAGGTGTTGTGTGTGTTATATTTGTCTAGCGTGTGATGTGTTGGGTGTGATTTGTGTCTCTGTGTGGGCATGTAGTTCTGAGGCCCCAGGAGGCCCCAGGAGGCCCCAGGCGGCCTCAGGAGGCCCCAGAAGACCCCAGGAGGCTCCAGGAGGCCCCAAGAGGCTCCAGGAGGCCACAGGAGGCCCCCGGAGGTTCCAGGGGACCCCCAGGAGGCTCCGAGGCGGGGTCTGGGGTACCAGAAGGTACAGAAAGCCCCAGGAGGCCCCAGGCGGTTCCAGGAGGCTCCCAAGAGGCTCCGAGGCGGGGTCTGGGGTACCAGAAACGTCGGGGCTCGATTTTGGGAGGATGTCTCTGGCGAAATCGCCATTCTCTGAGAATCGGGGTCAAAATCATTGAAATTACCATGTTTTTTTGGAAGGTTTGATGTTAGAATGTTGAAATCCCCATGTGTTTTTGGACCCTGACGTCACGATCTGCGTGAGGAGTGCCACCGATTTTGAGAATTTCGAGGATGTCCCTAGCGAAACGGCCAGAAAAATCGCGGACGCCGCCTTCAACCAATCGGCTGTGAGCTCTACTCCCTCGGAGAGGTGCGTATGATAATATGTGTATATATATATATATATATATATATATTCAAAAACAAAAAATAATGCGCGCGCTCTTGCGAATTCTGAAGCAAACCATTGGTTTTTCATGACTTTTACAATGCTACCAGACGGGCTTCGCGCGCGCGCATGTCGAAATCGTTCGAACGCCCTTGCGCGCGTGCCGTGGCGAGAATCCTCTGCAAAAAAATGCACGCGCGCGCGTCGTAGCGCGCGCATTCCGAAATCCTTCAACAAACCCTCGGTTGCGGAAGGATGCCAAAATCGAGTGTCCCAAAAACATATTTAAAAAATTAGTCCTCCCAGATTCTCAGGACATGTTACCAAACGGGCTTCGCGCACGCGCATGTCGAAATCATTTCCGCGCCCTTGCGCGCGTGTTGGGGTGCTGGGGTGACACGATCCGTGTCAAATAACGCCATGCGAGCCACTCTCGCGCGTCTGCCGCGCGCGCATTCCGAATTCCTCTCAAAACCTTCATCACCGACGCGAAGACGCCGTCACCGTCGTCGGCGTGATCGGCATCGGCGCCGTCACTGACCGCGCCGCCGTCGCTGTCAGCATCGTCACCAACATCGCTACTATCACCATCATCGTGTCTACAACTGTCGACGTTGCCATGATACCGTACCCGCCCAAGTCGCCGACTCGCACTCAGGTGCCCACTTGGATGCGCCGAGCGGTCAGCACCACCGCGGACGCGTCGGCCGCGACAAACTACTTCGCCGCTGCGCGCGCGCATGTGCGGGCTGGCGTGGCCGCAGAGATGCACCAGCCAGCGCCTAGCATTCATCGCAATCGCCGCCGCATGAAGTTTGCAAACCAACTTGCGGGTGGGTGGGTGGGATGTTTGCGCGACCAATGGAATGGACAATTCACCGCGAACAGAAATAAATTACATCACATAGATCGCACCACGTCGAGTGCACCACGTAAGTTGCAAACCAAAAAGACTGCACCGCAGAGGTTACACCACATATGTTGCAACGCAAAGATTGCACCACCTATACTAAACAACATGTGCTGCACAACATGAATTGTACACGACAGGTTGCGCCACATAGATTGCACCAAATTTGCTGCTCCGCATAGGTTACACGCCATATGTTGCACAACATCGCGTGCACCATCTAGATTTCACAACATATACTGCACCACATGTATTGGTCAACGCAGATTACGCAACAACTATTACACCACCTAGCTTGCACAGCATGGGTTGCACAACAAAAACTGCACCACCGAAATTGCGCTACGTGACTTGCACAACAAAACTGCACCGCATATAGAGTTCATCCAGTCGGTTCCACCAGATAGCGTGCGCTCCAAATGCTTCGCCCTTGAAAGAATAGTACTTGTAGCCCCCACGCCCTCACCCCGGGTGTATCGACCCCCGTGAAATAAAATATTGTCATATTCATGCTGGACACTCGATCGCTTCACCAGATAAACTCAAACTGCACCTGACCAGCTAGCACCCCCCCTCCCCCTCCTCACCCCCGCCACTCAAGTCAAACAGGACTATGCGCATGCACCCGCTTCTAACAAAACAGAAAAAGTTCTGCAGAACCCTTGCAAGAAAAATGGCATTGTCCACACGCGTTCCTCGCCGCGCGCGCACTGGAATGATTCAAAACCCATGGTTTGCGCACGCGTTTCAATATCGAAGCTCCCGAAAACATATTTCTGGAAAAAATCGGGGGGGGGGGGGGAAACGCACGACGAACTTCTACTATTACAACTAACACAACAACAAACGGATCTGCGCGCTTTTGCGAATGCGTATGACAAGCCGCGAGCGGTTAAAACTGTTAATCAAAAGCGACTAAGCGGGCCTCTCCAGCGCGCGCGTCGGAATCATTCGAACGCCTTTGAGCGCTTGCTGGCGGGGCACGATCGCTGACAAATAACACCACGCGGGCCACTCGCGCCCGTCGGCCTGGTGCGCATGTCGAAATCCTTCCAAAACCCACATCTCCGACACGTGGACACCATCATCGTCATCGGCATGACCAGCATCGACCTCGTCTTTGTCCTTGCCATTGTCAACGCCATCATCGCCACCATCATCGCTACTATCATCATCGTGTTCGCCTGTCCTTCGTCGCCATGCTACCGCGCCCGCCCGAGCTAAATTACCGACTCGCACTGTGCCCGCGCGTCAGCGCGGCTTGCGAAACGCGCTGGGAGGTCCCCAGCGGCACCCGTCACCGCGGCCGCGTCGGTCGTGCCAGATGCCAAATTTGCTGGCCGGTCTGCGCGGGAGCTTGCGCGCGCGAGCGCGGCCGCGGCGATGCGCCAGCCAACGCCAAGCAATCATCGTTTTGGAAACCAAGCTGCGGCGGGTGGGCGGGATGATTGCGCGAGCAGTGGAGCTGGCAACTCACTGCGAACATAAACGAACTGCACCACAAAGATTGTACCGCACAAATCTTCCTCCCCAAACAGGAACTAGGATCTACCACTGCCCACCCAACACTCCCAGAATTATCCCACCCATGGGATAGTACAACTGTGATACGACTCTGTCCCATCGCTCATTTTCAAAACGAACCCATACCATCCCAGCATGAGCGACTTCCGTCCACCACCCCATCCCTGTCAATAATACGCGCAGACTCGTTCATCAAAAACCGTCAGTGTTGAAGAACCCACTCTGCAAAACAACGGGACAATGTCGACACGCGCGCGTCGTCGCGAGAGCATCCCGAAATCCTCTACACCCGTCGATGTCGTAAGAACTGCAAGATCGAGGCTCCCGATGACAGGCTTCCAAGAAAACGATGGCTGCGCAACGTAATTTACCAAAACAAAAAAGTCTGCACACGCGCTCTTGCGAATCCTTTTGAGAACAAGCATCGGTTGATCAACATGCTCATCGAATGCGACCAAGCGGGTCTCTCGCGCGAGCGTGCCGAAATCATTCAAACGCTCTTGCACGCCTGCTGGGGGGGACGACCCCGGGCAATACCACCATGCGGACCACTCGCCCTGTCGGCCGCAAGCGCATGTCGGAACCTTTCGTACCAATACGTGGGCACAATCATCGTCATCGTCATCGGCGCCGACATTGGCCTCACCGTCGTCAACGCAAGCCTCGTAACCATCATCGCTACAATCACCGTCGCGTCCACCTTTTGCCGACGTCACCATGATACACCGCCCGGCCCGAGTCTTCGACTCGCAATGGGATTTCACCAGCGGTCAGCGTCACCACGGCCGCGTCGGTCGCGCTAGACTAGCTGGCCGTTCTGCGAGCTAGTTTGCGCGCGCTAGCGCGGCCACAGCGATGCACCAACTAGCGCCAAGACGTCATCGCAATCGCCGCCGCATTGGTCTGGCAAACCAAGTTGCACGCGGGTGGGTGGGGTTACTGCGCGACCAGTGGAACTGATAACCGAGGTCCGCAAAGTGAGCTGCATCCCGTATATTGCACCACATAGTTTGTACAGCATAGTTTGCACAACAGATATTGCACAACATGACGTGCACCACCTAGTTTGCACTACAGTAACTGCTGTACGTCCACTCAGGGTGCACAACATAAATCGTTAGAAATACACCATTTGGGGTCCCCGCTGGCTACCTTAGTTATGCGTGTACATATGTAGGTGTATGCACAGATGCTCGCCTGTGCGTGCATACATCTACCAGAGACATTCGCGCGCGCTCCGCGCGCGTTCAATTGCGAGATAGCCTGAGGGCGTTGGGACGTGCAAACTGGAACATGATTGATTCATTGCCCTGCTTTCCTTATGGATGCCACGACACTGGACACCCTAACTCTGCATGATGAAAACATGTTTTACATGTTTCAGACATCTAGAAACTAGTTGGCAACATGCGTCCTCTCCATTGATCGTCCTCCACAATGCTTTCCTCATTCATATTCTCGTGGCCCGCGTTCTCAGTCCTGCTTTCCTTGCCTTTTCTGCTTTCCGTTGCTTCGTCAACTCTCCTCCCTCCTCAACCCTCAACCCTCGTCCATCATCCCGCATTCGCCCTATTCTCGCTTTTGCCTGCCTCAACCTGCCTTTGCCCTCTCCGCTTCAAGCTCCCTTTGGTCCTCGTCAGGAGGCCGAGGCCCAAGAAGACCCCAAGAGCGTCCCAAGGCGGCCTCGAGAGGTTCCCGGGACGGCTTCGGAGGAGCTCCAAACGCCCCAAGACCGTTCAAAACTGCTCCAAAAGGTCCCAGAAAAGAGCCGAAGAGAGTTCAAGAGGCCCCGCAGGAGGCCCCAAGAGGCCCCAAGGAGCCCACACACCGCGTGGACTGCGCGCGATCCGGACGCGCACCCCGCGAAACGAGACGCATCATCTCCAGGAAGTGCTCGACGCGTCGCTCCACAACCCGCGCCTGGGAGCTACAGTCCTTCAAGCAGCAGGACCGAGGCGGCCACAGCGATTACGTCGGCGAGGGAAAGCCTGTTGACTTGGACAAGCTCTACAGGTGGGCGCAGTCCTGCAAGACGGAGCGGGGCGAGTCGCCCATCGAGTGCCAGCAGGCGCAGGAGCGCTACTCACAGGCAGTGGACGCCAAAAACAATGCCAGACCGCACGCGGCGCAGCTCACCCAGGGTCGGCTCGCCAGGGAGAAGCTCGAGAAAGAAGAGCGCACCATCTACGAGGAGGTCAAGCAGCACGAGAAGAGCACGCAGGAGGCCCAGGAACGGCTGGCCAAGAGGCGCGAGCACCTCGAGGTGGCGTGGAGGGCAGCGGAGTCTCCAAGGAGGAGCACGAACAGCTCTTCGTTACCCTCAGCAAGGTGCTGGGCAACGTCGAGGAGGAGCCCAAGGACGACAGCAAGGACAACATGGGCACTGCGGAGCCTGGCGATGCGCCTGTCAGCGGCGGCGGTGGGAGCGCAGCCGAAGCCAGCGCAGGAGCGGCACGAGTGCCAAAGCTTACTCAAGAGGAGCACGAGTGGCTTGCAGCAGGAGGAGTTCCAGCATATGCCAGCGACGCTCAACGCAAGCGATGGCTGGAAGGGTGCGCCACTTTGGCAGGCACGACAAGCGGGCCAAGCGTTCCTGACAGGAAACGCCAGAAGAAGTACGACAGCCTCACCCTGTGGACGTTTAACGGCTCGGGTTGGGGCACAATCAAGGAGAAGATTGAGGAGACGGTGCAGGGCAGCAGCTTGCAGTGATACGCAGTGCAGGAGCATCGCCTCACGGACGATAAGATGGCTGTGGTGTCGCAGAGCATGTGAAGGTGCGGGGGTACCGGTTCGGCGGCGTAGCAGCCAACGCTACGACGGGGCCAAGTGGGGAAGCAGGCGCATCAGATGGTGTTGCGGCAATAGCTCCACGCTGCATCGGCATGACCTACCTGTGCGGCAAGGAGAAGTGGGACATCTCGCCGCGGGCAAGTCCAGGACGTGCTACGGCGGCGTGGTTGTCGGTCAGCACAAGTGTGATCTACGCCTCAGTCTACTTGTGGACAGCCGAGGGCATGACGTATAGGAACACGGAAATCATCAACAAGGTGACATGGCAGTTGGAGACGCTCGCGGGGCCGTGGATCATCGGTGGCGATTTCCAGGTCGAGCCCGAGAAGATGGCCGAGGTGGAGAGCGTCAAGGCGGCCAGGGCGCGTGCGATAGCGTCAGGGGCCGAGTGCGGCACGTGCAAGCATGCACATGGTGTCTGCGAGATCGACTACTTCATCGTGTCGGACCAGGATGTCGGGCAGGTGATGCAAGCCAGGGCGCAGGAGGAGTGGCCGTCGGCGCCACACAAGCCTGTGGGGCTCACCAGACGACTCAAGGTGCGAGAGCGGTTGGTCAGGGTGCTGGAGAAGCCGAAGGCGCTGCCCGAGCTGGCGATCGGGTGCACGCCAGCGCCGCCGCGGTACATGGAGATCGAGAGCTTCAGCACGCAGAAGGAGGCCAACAGTACTTGGGCGACCTACATGCGGACATTAGAGCAGGAGGCGTTCGCTGCGCGCGGCATGGACTGGGCTGAGGACCACCCATCAGCTGGGCGAGCAGAGGAGCCGACGTGGAGGATCAAGCCGCTGAGCGTCGGGGGCGAAAGCTTACCACCATCAGCGCCTGAGGCAATACGGTGGAGATGGCTGGCTCGGACTCTGCTGAATCTGCAGGGAGCGTACAACCGCATCGGGGCGGCACGCGCTGGGGAAGTTCGGAGGCGCAGGATCAAGGAGGCGACGGCTCAGGAGCACCAGTTCATCACCAGCAAGCAGCGAACCAAGCACATCAGCACGGAAGAGCAGGGCAGGCGGCGAGCTAGAGGTGGCGTAATAGCAGCTGGACTATTACGGGGTGAAGGACAGCTACCAGCGGTGCAGCAGAGGGCCCAAGAGGGCCACGAGAAGATGAGGAAGTACGACCGGCAGCTCCCCGAGGAACGCAGAGCAAAGTGGGCAGACAAGCTGGAGCAGGCAGCATCCGGCGCGGCAGGTGGACTACACAGGTGGAGCAAGGCGGCCACGGTGCGGCGACCGCGCAGAGCTGCAACCATGGAGGAACCAGCGGGCCCTATCGCGGCAGCGGAGCACTCGCTGCCGGAGCGGAACGAGATCTGGCGCGTCGGCGAGCGCATCCAGGAGGAGCCGAGGCCCTGGGAGTTCGAGGGGCGGGATCAGAGTGGGGAGTTCACGGACCAGGATGTCGAGGAGCTCAAGGTGGTCGCGAGGGCCTTCAGGAAGAAGACGGGCATCGGGGTGGACAGGTGGCACCCGTCCATGCTGCAGGGGGCGTCGGACGACGCATACCGCAGGTTGCTGGACATCTAGCTAGAAGTGGAGAGGACGCTGTGCTGGCCGATCCACATGAGCACGGTGCTGTTTTTCACGATCCCGAAGACCTTCACCACAGACAGGATCATCGGGCTGCTCCCAACGACGATCCGCGCGTGGGAAATCATGCGGGAGCAGTATATGCTAAAGTGAGGGCAGGATAACTACAGGAGCTGGGATTGCACGGGCTACGCCAAGGCGGCAGAGGACGCAGCGTGGGAGGTGCTACTCAGCCACGAGATGGACGACGCAGAGGACCAGAGCGAAGAGATGCAGGCGACAATCACTGCGGTCTTAGACCTGGTGAAGGCTTTCGAGAAGGTGGGCCTCCACGTGCTGTGGGAGGCTGGGAAGCAGGTGAACTACAACGTTGGCGTGCTGGCGGTGGTGTGCTCGTATTTCGCAACGACGAGGCGACTGATCGTGGGCGACTCGGTCTAAAGCGAGACGAGGACGGTGGCCACCATCATCGCGGGTAGCAAGTTCCCGGTGTGCTTCTTGAAGATTGGCATTCAATCTACGATGGGCGGCCTCGTGGTGGAGAGGCCGCGTGCGAGGTGGCGCATGTATGTGGATGACCTGTGCGTGAGGGTGAGACAGCAGCACAAGTACATCGTGAACGAGTTCAGCGAGACGATCGACGCGTGCTTCGCAGGCTTCGAGCAGTTGGGGCTGAAGTTCTCGGTGGGCAGCGCAAGCAAAGGAGCGGTTATGGCGAGCACGAAGTGGGCGCGCAAGGCGGTGGCAAAGGACATGCTGGACAGGGGCATCCCAGTGGTGAGGGCATGTCCATACCTGGGCGTCGACATCGTTGCGTATGGTACGGCGGCGAAGACCAAGAGCGGCAAATGGTACAGCAACATGAAGGTCAGGAGCAGGCGGCTGCTGAACATGAAAGGAGGTGGACGCAAGATGGCGCGGGAAGTTGGTTTGATATTCAAGTGCGGGCTGAAGAGGTCGGTGCTGCACGGCTGCAAGTGCCTGGGAATGCCAGATCACCAGTTGAGACAACTAAGGCGAGAAGCAGGGCAACTATTACCAGGAGGCCGAGGGGCCAGGAGTTTGACGTTGCAGTTGGCGGTGGCTCAGGAGGAGCCCACGTACGAGGTCACGGAGGCGCCGGTTGTCAGGTGGGCGAGAGCTGTGTGGCAAACAGCACAAGCGCAGGATGCAGGCGACGACGGGGACAACATTGCGCACATGTTGCAGCAGACGTGGCGGCGGCAACAACAGGAGGTAGGTATAAAGCCGGCTTGGGCCCGAGCACGAGGACCAGCAGGAGCGGTCATCATGTCCATGAGGAGAGCGAGTTGGACCTGGCCAGCATGGCAAACGTTCGTCACCAAGGAGGGACACGAGCCGAACATGATGGAGGCTTGCCCCATGGATGTAGCCGCCATGTTGCGCAAGGGCGTGCAGAGTAAGCTTTGGGAGGACTGGACCAAGGCCGAGCCCAGCGCCCAGCGCCTTTGCTGGCGCCAGCGGTCGCCCAGCTGCGTGCTAGGGATTTCCCAAAGCACGCCAAGAACGCGGCGAAGAAGGTGTTACTGGGCGGGGTTTGGACGATGGCGAAGCTGAGCCAGTGCAACATCGTGCCGACGGATATCTGCATGGCGTGCGGCAAGGCAGTCGGGACGGAGCATCACAGGTACTACAAGTGCGAGGCGCTCAGGGAGCAGCGGTTGCAAGCCCAGGCGGACTGGCAGACGGTGGCGGAGCAGCAGGACACGAACATGTTGTGGACCCGTGGTCTGGTTCGCACACCAGAAGCGGACTGGACCTTCGTGAGCATCGGAGAGGACCAGCACTACGGCCAGGCGGTCCAGGGCGATGAGGACTACTTCACGGGCGACATCGTGTGCGACGGATCGAAGTTGGGCTACAGTGAGTGGGCACAAACTGGGTGGGCAGCTATGTCACTCACGGACGAGGGCAGCGCGAAGATGCAGTTGTGGGGTCCGCTACCGTGTACGCTGCCAATCCACAGGAAGGTCAAGCGAGCGGAGATATGGGCCTTCCTGAAGGTGCTGGAGAGGATGATGCCGCCAGGTCGCATCTGCACGGACCACAAGGGCATCCTTGAGGGCTTGCAGAAGGGCGAGCGGTGGCGCACGAGCTGGAAGAGGCCGCATGCCAACATCTGGAAGCGGATTTGGCATAAGGTAAAGAACCTGGACCTGGACGTCGGGTGCGTGAAGCACGTGAAGGCGCACAGGTCCAAGACAAACATCGAGCAGTTGGAGGGCGACGACCTGAAGATTGCGAAGGGCAACAGCGAGGTGGACCTGCTTGCAAAGGCAGGGACAGAGATAGATGCCAACTTCGGTAAGCACCAGGCGCTGGAGGATCTTGCTGTACGAGTACGGTGGGCGCTTCAGAACTTGGGATGGTGTTATCAGAAGATGGCGGGCGAGTGGCCACACGTCCCCAAGCGCGAGAAAGGAGTACCACGACGGCGTGTTGCGAAGCCGCTGGTCGTGCTCACCAAACACGAGGTCGTGGAGAAGGACGGTTGGCAGGTATGCATGAGATGTGGGCTACGAGCTGCCTCGCGACGGATGCGCAAGAAGCTGTGGCAAGCGGAGTGCATCAAGCCGAGCTGGAAATCAACTGGGGCAAGCAGCTCAGGTGCGGGAAGTTCACTGGAGGCCAGCGTGGCCATGGCTGCTGCGGCCGCAGCGGCTGCCGCTGAGGTGCTGGTGGACGCTCGGAGCTCGAAAACGAAGCCGAAGGAGAGGCACGTGGACGATCACACAGCGTAGAGGTCCATGGGCCATATGTGGTGTGCGTGGTGTGTGGAGCTCACTTGGCGAGGAGGCGGGCAGGGCTTGGGATAGCATGCCCAGGGCCCTTGCAGCATCGAGGAAGGTCGAGCAAGGACGACGCGAAGCGCAAGAAGAGGGACACGATGTTGGCTGGGAAACACCCGCAAACATGGAAGCCGCTGGGCCAGGGGCTCGTTCTACCAGTGCTGCGAGGGTAGTATGAACGAGATGGTGCACCGCGCCTGTTCTACTATGCGAGCATGGTGAACGAGGTGGCGCTGGAGAGGGGCTCCAGCTGAGCAGGCCAGCCAGGCCTGAGGGCGTGCCGCCGCGTGCGGCGAACGGGCCTCGTTTCGGGATTCCGCTGGAGGCTTGGGGTAGTACAAAAAGCCTCTTTGGGGCCTCATGAGGGCGTCTTGGGGGTCTTTGTGGCGGATTTGGTTTTCGTAGAGGATCGCGAATGCGTTGTGGCGCCTCTTTGGAGCCTCTGAGGGGGCCTCTTAGGCGCCCCTTTGGGGCCTCATGGGGGCGTCTTTGGGGTCTCTGGGCGTGCTCTTGGTGCCCCTTGGAACCTTTTGGAGGCCCCTTGGAAGTTCTTGGGGGGCCACATCGTGGCCCCGGAAGCGCACCTGACGCGAAAACACACGAAAATGCACAAATCAGCCCTGTTCCCATGTTTCTCTGCGCGTTTGGCCTGTCCGGGGCCTCCTCGAGCGCTTCTGGAAGCCCTCTTGGGCACTCTTGCGGGCGTGTGGACCAGGAGGAGGAGGAGGAGGAGGAGGAGGAGGAGGAGGCGGAGGAGGAGGAGGGGAAGGGGGAGGAGGAGGAGGAGGAGGAGGAGCCGTCTCGGAGCGCCCCTGGGCAGTCCTGGGGCCCCTTGAAGCCGTCCTGGGCGCCTCTTGAGGGGCCTCTGCTGGCCGTGCCTTTTTGGGGCCCTCCCGGGGGCGGTCCTGGCGAGGCCCGGGCGCTCTGCCACGCCTGCGGAGGCCCGGCGTCTGCCCCATGGGGCCAGCCAGGCCCTGGCCCCCTGGGGTAGATGTACAGTCGGGGCGTTGACCTACGGAACCCTAAATAAGGAACGAGGCCCCTATTTTCCATAGGTTAAACTTCGATGTCAGATCGAAAACCTGGGGAAAGCCTGAGGCAAGCTATGAAACACTTAAGGAACGCGGAGCCCCTCCCCAACGAAAAGGGTTCCTTCTTCAGGGCCCCGACTGTATATCTGTACATACACGTGTGCATCCGACATCAAGGACAGTACACACACAGGGGGCCACAGGCGAACCCTGCCCCTGTCCCCCACGATTTCTGCGGGGGAGGGGGTGGGGTTCACTCCGCTCGGGAGCTCCCGAGCGAAGTGGACCCCACCCTCCCCCTCAGAAGTCCTGGGGGGTAGGGGCAGGGTTCGCATGTGGCCCCCTTCTGCATATCTGTGTGTACGCGTGCGCATCCGACATCAGAAGGACAGCACACAGTATCGGACTCGCTCCTGGAGGGGCCCCTGTCGCTGCGAGCCGCACGGCCCGGGCGCGCCTTCGAGGAGCAGGGCGTGCTGCTGCTCCGGTGGGACGCTCGGCGACTTCGCGCCGACGGTGTCCGCTGCCGCTGGTGCACAAGCGTCACTCCGCTGCTACGGCAAGCACTCGACGTCATGCTGGGAGTCCCGAATGGACGTCGACTGCCTGCCCTAACCAGGGGAACAAAGGAGGGCGGGGAGGAGGAAGAGGAGGAGCAGCAGCAGGGAGGAACAGGGGGAACGGGGTAGAGAAGGACGGGGGTGGGCGAGGAAGAGAAGGACGACGAGGACGACGACAACGAAGGGGGGGAGGACGAGGTTGAGGTGGATAAGAAGGAGGAGCCAGGGAGGAGAGAGGAGAATGAGAAGAAGGGAGGGAAGAAGGAGGCAGGCGATGAAGAATGGAGAGAGAGTGGGGGGACGGGGGCCCCGCTGTCCTCAAGGTACCTCACGAATAGGGCCGCGTCGGCCTGGCGGTATCTGGCGTCCGACTGGTCGTGGAGCCGCTGCATCGACCACTTGAGGCGCTCTTCAAGGTTTGGCGGAACGCGGCTCGTCATCACGTTCGGCGTCGATGTGGCCGTCTTCCTCCTCTTCATCCTGGTTCTTCTCCTCCTCCTGCTCCTATTTCTCCTCCTCCTCATTCGCCTCCCTCTGCTTATCATCATCATCATCATCATCATCATCATCATCATCATCATCATCATCATCAGCAGCAGCAGCAGCAGCAGCAGCAGCGGCATCAGCATCAGCATCATCATCAGCAGTATCATCAGTATCATCACCACCACTATCAGCATCATCATCATCATCATCATCATCATCATCAGCAGCAGCAGCAGCAGCAGCAGCATCATTATTATCATTATCGCCATCAGAAGGCACCCGATCACGCTGGCACCGGCAGGCGCAAGCAGGACCCACTCCGCCTGCTGCGCGAACGAGCCTCGAGAACGCGAGCGACGCCGCCCCCCTACTGCTCACGAGCACTACGAGGCACGCAAGCACAACTACGAGCACGAGGAGGAAGAGGAGGAGGAGGAGGAGGAGGAGGAGGAGGGGATGGAGGAGGCGGAGGAGGAGGAGGAGCACATCAGAAGTGGATGGACCACTGGTCGCGAGTCAGCCGCGACAACGACATGCCCCAGGCTTTGGCAACCAGGGACTTCTCACGACTGTCCCCCCTTGCCTGCCTCCCAGCTGGACGACGAGCTGGACCACGCCGACGATCCGACCTGTCCTTGCCCACCACCCGCCCCACGGCGCACGAGCATCAGACGGCGCTGGAGGCCGACGCCGTGGACGGCGGACTCACTGCCACCGTGACCCATTCCAGCAGTGCGAGCCACAGCCGGACCGCTATTCTGAAGAATTTCTGGAACTTTTGGAATTTCTGGATTTCCTGAAAATTTCTGGAAATTCGGGAATTTCTGGAATTTCTGGAACTCCAGCATCCACATCAACGATCCTACTGCCGTACCTCGCCTGCTCGAAAACAGCACCGACGTGCAGCCCATCGCCGACCGCACGGGCCCCCCAGACCTCTGGAGGACCTCGCGAGGCTGCAGCGGCCGACCGCGAGCTCGTGCAAGAGACGACTGTGGCGCGAGAGGAGACGGCGGTGCCATCCACCGTGGGCATGGCCAACTGAACTCACCATCACGGTGCTCACACCACAGTACATGATACGGTAGACAGAAGCAATTACTGAACACTCCCCCTCCCCCCCAAGCTCAACGTTGGCACGCGCGGGGGAGGCTGCGGTCGAAGTGCATCTCATCAGACCCACCGCCAACTTTGAACATTGGGGGGAGGGGGAGGCGTTGACGGATGAATGTGGCATGTGTTCGCTGATTTGTTCCGAGGCCTGTACGACCTGGACAAGACAGACCAGGACTCGGAGCCCCTGAGCGCCAGCAACTTCAAGCGGATCCACTGGCCGAGCGCCTCCCTCGACCTGACCAGCGAGGCCTCAACGCTGACCACAGGACGTGCTACAGCATCATCACGGCATTCGTCCACCTCCTGGGCCACATCCGCCACACGACGGAACTGCCAACAAAAACCTACACGAGCCGCGCCATCGCCACCGGGAAGAAAGGCAAAGTTCCGACGGGGCAGCCCATAGCCGATGCGTTCGCCTTCTGCACTGCTTCGACCACACCAGGAGACTGTATCTGCGCATCGGATTCAATGCGGATCCTTGTACGACGCCCCAGACTTGACATACGAAGGCATACAAGCACGCCGCCGCAAATCGGTAATGCTATTGGCCAAACTAGTGAGCTGGAAGCTGCGCGCGGCCAACGCAGCGTTCATCGCCAAGAGGTGTGGCATGAGGAATGCTTTCGCGACGGGCGACCACGAGAGGCCATGGGCTGCCCACACCCTTCGGTGTGATGATGAGTATTTTCATCCTCTGCTCGAGCAGCATCGCAGCAAGACTGTAGTACACCTTCAGGCCTCTAACGCAATCCTCGCCCTTCGGCCAGGCACGGGAGGGACGATGGGAGCTTCGAATGCACCCGAACTTTTCATGGGATCCTTTTACCCGCTGGTTCTGGACTGGGATCGGGAGATGGCCGAGATACAAGGGCAGCCTTTTCGACTTGATTGTCCCTTTCCGGGCCAGGTACGTACCGGTCACCTCAAACTTATTGACGATTTGCACAAGATCCTCGTGGTTTCAGACGGGACCGCCTACCAGGCTCTGCTGTTAGATCAGATCGACAAAAACTCCCTAACCCGAGCTCTACGTCGTGGAGGGTACGCCCAGAACATTAACAAGCAGAGCGGCAACAAAAGAAACTGAGAAACGCATCTCGGGGAATTCGGCCCAGGAGCTCATACATCTCGGGGGGGTACATACATGATGCTGTACATTCACAACGCGAAATACATGAGCGTATTATGTCGGGGAATGTAGGCTGGACTCGATTGGGTGACTGTTGGTTCTCCAAGGGGGCAGAGTCTGGTCTGGCTTTAAAATCTACGTACTCCGACCGCGAGAGGTACATCGTTTAGACTGCACGCTGGCTCAGAAACTTCGGACCATGCTCAAGGGAGCTGCCCACCAGGAAGATTCCGAGGAATACCACAAGTCGATGACCACGCTTGAGATTTTTCGAGAATGGCAGGTAGCTCCGACTGCAATCGAACTGCTCGTGCGACGACTTCTCTGGTGGCAGAGCATCGCCAGTAACAACGCCGATCATGTCCAATTCCTCGCGGTTCTTGTTCGCCAGGTGCGCCTTCGAGCTGCAGGCGGTCAAAGACAACCGCCCAGCTTCAGCCTCTACCCTCAACGAGCAGGGTGAGATTGATACGCTCGCTCACCCGTGGGCGCGCCAGCGTTCAGCCGACCTCGAGTGCCTCTTATCGAACCCCGTGGGCGAGACCCTGTGCGAGTTGTGGCGCCCTCTGACGATACAAAAGCTGTGGGACGACGAACAGATCCGAGAAGCATTCGTCGCATGTGATATCCGAGCGCTACGCGCCAGCTTCTGGACGAACCACTGGCCCCCTCCCGAGCCCGACGAGATCCGACAGTGATGAAAAGCACCTGCGGCCCTTCCGATGCCAGCTCCCTGGGTGTGGCCAGCGTTTCAATACTATCAGAGAGCGTGTTACACATCAGATAAGAAGCAAAGCCGACGGACATGGAAAACCACAGCGACTTACTACACTAAAAAGTGCGACAACAAGTGCATAGCATGTGAAACTACACTCCAGAATACTGAGCATGCGCTATGACATCTACGGTGATATTCGCAGTATGGTAGGTGCATTGACGACCTTACACGTCATGCACATACATGGACACCATGATCAGCCACCACGTGTCCATTAGCAGGATAGCAACTGGATTCCGCATGCCTGCATGGGTAGCATAGCCCTGCTAAACTACGGCAACATCTCCTCACTCGTCTCCCCCCGTCGGCATCGGGCTTCTTGCTCAAACAGGCCCAGCACAGAGAGGGCCCAGACCCACGCGCAAAGCCTGGAGGAGCTTCAGCACCTGCGCCACCTGCAGTACGACACCAGCGAGCCATAGAGGACACCCTTGGCGCTCGAAGAGCGCTCCGCGCTCCAAAGAGCCACCGACAGGCTCTGCACGGCACTCGAGCTACGCCGGCCACGGCCACGACGAGTTCGACCAGCTCGACAGCACCCGCCAGCACAAGCAGAACCGCTACGACCAGCACCTGCCAGTGCCCGGCCAGCGGCGGCGACGCCCAGAGTGCCAGTACTCCCTCGACGTGGAGATGGCGGCGGCAGCGGCGGCAGTGGACGAGGATGCGCAGACCAAGCCAGTGGATGCCAAGGCGCCAGGAGGCCCGAAGAGAGCACAGTGGCGCCTCCACCTGGGCTCCTCCCAGGACTCGCAAGGATCTGGGCCAAGCTCGGCGCAGCCCCGCGTGGAGGCAGCCCCACCGCTAGCCAAGGCCAGGCTCCAGAGGCCGCCAGCCCACCACCACGACCAGCCTCAGGACTGGGAGATGGGCGGCGTCGAGGGCGAGGTGCGCGACCGCAAGAAGGCCAAGCCACAACGACGAGGAGGACGATGGACACGCAGAGGAGAGCATCCAGCCAAGACGTGGAGCAGCAAGGACAAGAATTTGGTGGCATGACTCCAGTCAGTACTGAAGCTGGTCCACCAGACGGCGCACTGGGGACGCATGGCCACGTCAGTGTCCATCGATACGTGCACTATGCCAGCCGTGCACCCCGCGGTCACGAAGACCAGCGCAGAGCTGGATGGCCACAAGGCGACACTCGACACGCTGCACACCCAGGGGTCGAGGGCAAGACGAGGATGAAGGAGATCGGATCCCCGCGGCGAGCATGGGCCTCGCGGCCCTGGAGGGCTTGCAGTGCAACATCGGGGGCGCAGCCAAGCGCGAGCTGAAGGCGTACCTCGACAAGTGTCAGCCCGAGGACGAGCTCACAGAACCATAAGTGGAAAAGGGTGACCTCGAGCTGGAGATCAGTTTCATCAGGCTGGAGAAGTGCTACGACGCGCAGAAGATGAAGACCTCGTGGGCGCGCCCACCTGGGAAGGACGCGGGCTAATCCAGAGGGTCCTCGAGAAAGAGCACATCGCAGTGTTTCACAAGGGAGTGGCTCCAGCGGGCTGGCTCGAGGACGAAGTAGGCCACTGGCTGGAGACGATGTCGGAGGGCCGAAACAGTGAACGCCCGCCACATCAGCAGCCTGTCCATCGAGCAGTACGATTCGTAAGCAGAGGCATGATGCCAGGCTCGCTGCTAGCTCCCGACCCCTCAGGTTCGGACAAGGGCGCTGTGCGCCCATGTCCGCAGCCCACCGACCTAGATAGTTCCGAGGCCGACGAGGCGGTCGCAGCAGATTTGTTTTCATGATCAAACCGCCGCCCGCCTGGCTCCCTGCGTTGCGAAGCACCCTTGCTGGCACACGCACCGAGCGCCCTGAGGAGTTCAGGTCTCCTGCGACGAGTCGAGTTGTTGCAAAACGATGTCGATGATCGTATCCTTTGCTTATTGGCTCTGCCGTCGAAAAAAACAGCGCGAACATCAACAACAACAACAACAACAACAACAACAACAACAACAACAACAACAACAACAACAACGACAACAACAACAACAACAACAACAACAACAACAACAACAACAACAACAACAATATCATCATCATCATCATCATCATCATCATCATCATCATCATCATCATCATCATCATCATCATCATCATCATCATCATCATCATCCTCATCCTCATCATCAGCATCAGCATCATCATCATCAGCATCAGCATCAGCATCAGCATCATCATCAGCATCACCAGCAGCAGCATCATCAGCAGCATCGTGATCGTCATCATCAGAAGCATCATCAGCATCTTCTTCATCACCATCACCAACACCACCACAACCAACATCATCATCAGCATCATGAGCATCATCATGATCGTCATCATCGTCGTCATCGTCATCATCATCGTTGTCATCATCATCCTCAGCATCATCAGAATCCTTCTCATCCTCCTCAGCATCATCATCATCCGCATCATCATCATCGTCATGATCATCAGCATCTATCATCAGCAGCACCAGAATCATCATCATCAGCATCATCATGTTCATCATTAGCAGCATTATAAGCAGCATCATCAGCATCATTATCAGCATCGTCATCGTTATCAGCAGCAGCAGCAGTATCCTCATCATCACCACCACCACCATCCGCGTAATCAACACCGTCGCCATCAGCATCATCGTCGCCGTCACAACATCACCGCCTTCACCATCAACAACAGCAACATCCCAATGATCAGCAGCATTGTCAGCATCATCAATACTACCATCATCAACAACACCATCCCCACATTCATCGGCATCATCATCATCATCCACATCCTCGCCATCCTCGTCTGTAGCACCATCATCCTCATCATCCGCAACAGCATCAGCATCATGATCATCATCATCATCATCATCAACAACAACATCAGCATCATCAACATCAACATCATCATCATCATCATCAACCTCATCATCAGCATAATCATCATATACAGCAACAGCTTCATCATCATCAGCATCGTCGTCGTCGCCAGCAGCAACAGCAGCATCATCATCAGCATCATCAGCATTATGATCAACGCCATCCGCATCAGCAGCAGCAGCATCGTCGTCGTTATTGGCGTCGTGATTAATGTACAGCATTTGTTATACGAACACGTCCCTAGAATACCATGCCGGTCGTGCAGGGCGGCTCCGAAGCCCCATCTCCAGCTCCTACATAGATAAAACGATCACAATCAGCGCATCGCAACCTTGCTGATCCGCTGTTGGCATCGTGGAAGAAAGTGGCGGGCCGAGAAAAGCCATGGTGGTAGACACACGGAGAGACTGTCGTGCCAGCTGCAGGCTGCGCCTCGGCGCGCGAGGACCGCCGAGGCCACGCACGCCCGAGCACACGCCAGCCTCGGCGCACGAGGCCTCCCGCGGACCCGCGGATGGAGCGCACTCGGGGCGGGACAGCACGGACTGGCCCGGTTTCGGTACAGTGATTCTCCAGTGAGTGGAGCACCAAGCCTGCACCGCGGAGGAGAGGACGTCGCACGTCACGGGTGGGAGGTGGCCGCGTGAACCTCACTGCCGGGCCCACAGAAGGAGGCCAGACCACCCTCTGCCACGCGGGCAGGAGGGATGCAACGGGGGCCGATGGCAACAGTATGAGAGGTGGGCCGCACCGCGAGTAGGCAGAGGCCAGCGAGAACCACACTGCCTGGCCCGCCATGCTGCTGTGGGCGATGTATAGGCCATCGCATTCGGAGAACGGGCAACTATAGACAGAGGTAGACTCACTGTACCGATACTGGCGACGATGTCTAAAACGGAAGAAAGCCCTGAGTGGAGCGCCGGAGGTGTTGTGGAGGAGTGGGAATGGAGAAACCCCAAGTCGGGGTAACCAACTTCAGCAGTCGCTCTGTTGTTACGAACATATGCTTCCAGGGAAGAATCAAATCGTGTCGGCCGCTCGGGGAGTGGTCTCGAAAATGCCCGCGTTGACCTCAGCGGAGGGGAAGTAGGCACACTGTGCTTGTATCTGGCGTGTGTATCGTCCTGACCGCCCCCGCGGCCGTCTTTTTGGCGGCCTCCGAGCCACGCCTGCTCCGCTGCCGCGTATGATCGTTGCGTTGCACCCATTCGGGGCGGCGTTTCCTCCCCCCTCGCTTTCCTCCGCCCCCCCTCTGTCCAGCGCCTCTTGGCTCCGCTCTGCCGGCAGGCCGCGATTGGGCCGGAGCCTTGCCTCCCACCGCCTGGAAGCCGGCCCTTGCCTGCTCCACCCGACTTGCGCCAGCTCCTCCTGCAGGTGTGCTAGCCCCCTTTGGTAGCTCAACTACGTTCCTCCTCCTCCTCCTCCTCCGCCGCCGCCTCCTCCTCCTCCACCTCCTCTTCCTCCTCCTCCTCCGCCTCCTCCTCCTCTTCCTCCTCCTCCGCCTCCTCCTCGTACCTGGCCACATCCCATGCGGGAGCAGCCGGCCCGTGAGCCCCTGGTGAATCACGCCTCCTGGTGCTCTGCCCGCGGAGACCATCTCGCTCGCACTCCCGGGGCCTGGCCAGCGCAACACTCTGATGCCGCCACCTGGCGTTGCATGCTGGGCTTGCTCGGGCTCGCTCGGAGCTGGGGAAATCGAAAGGTACCGATGCTGCTACTCACCGGACCTCTCCTGGGGCGCGTTCTGACCAGGACTTTGGGGCGAATCCAGCCGTGGCGACGAGGAGCCGGACAGGAGGGCGGAAAGGCGGAAAAACGGGCGAAAGGCAGCGGTAGGGGTACCCTTTCCTCCTCTGAGGAGCGGCACCTGGCCCTGCGCCCTTGCAAAGGCCAC